GATGGTGATATTGATGATGTTGATAATGATGGTGGTGATGGTCATGGTGAAGGTGATTGGGCTATTGTTAATGTTGACAATGATGGTGATGGTGAAGATGATGGTGATGGTGATATTGATGATGTTGATAGTGATGGTGGTTTTGGCCAATGTGAAGATGATGGTGATGGGGATATTGATTATGTTGATAATGTGGTGGTGATGGTCATGGTGGTGATGGTCATGGTGGTGATGGTGATGATGAATTTGATGGTGATGCTGCTGATAGTGATCATGATGCTGTTGATGGTGATGGTAAAGATGAAAATGATGGAGATATTGATGATGTCGATAATGAAGGTGGCGATGGTGATGGTGGTGATGGTGATGATGAATTTGATGGTGATGCTGCTGCTGATGGTGATCATGATGGTGTTAATGAAGATGTTCATCATTATGGTGATAGTGAAGATGATGGGGATATTGATGATGTTGATAATCATGGTGGTAATGTTAATGTTGGTGATGATTATAGTGATGGTAGTGATTATGTGGAGCCTTCTCCTCATAAAATTACATATTGAGATTTTACTCTTCTTTGGTCATTCTTCATTGAGGAAGATTGAAGAGTAGAGGCATTGTAGGCAGGGCAGGGCCTAGCGTAATTTAACAACACAGATAAATTAAGAAAGTGAGGGTCATGAGTGGGTTTGCCCCATGGAGGTAGGCTCTGCCTAGGTTTGCTTGTCACTTGGTGTCAGAAAGCAGGAATTGTAAGAGAAGGGGGTGAAAGGTGATGGGATCTGCAGAACTGGCTCTGGTTTTTCCCTCTTCCTAGATCCAGGCTTCCATTCCCACAACTGTGTTGATACTTTAAGCATTGATCTATACCCTGCTCCACTGAACTGCCCACAGTACCTCTACTTTTCAGTTTCTCTTGGCAATGCCCTTGTGGCAAAATGAAAGGAAGATCTCAAGATGTGGATTTAGAAGGTGGAAGTGGAAAGAGGAAGAGATTTGAGGTAGCCTGACTCAGCTGTCCATTTCCACTTCATGAAGTAGGAAGGAGGGAGGCAGGGAGACAGAAGGGGGAAGGAACATACGAGAGAGTTCTTTTCCTGCCTTTTACAGTAGAGTGATGCTGCCCATATGTAATGTCAATCATACAACTAACTTCTACCATGGTATGGGAGATTAGGATTAAAAACATTTTAGAAAAACATGCAGCCCCCTGGACAGTAAGTAGTGTCCAGCTTTAGTGGGGCAAACGTAGACATTGGAGTCCAGCAGAGCTAATTCTGTTTTAGCTGTGAACTTCAATTAATTTTTTAATCTCTTTGCATCTCCATTTGTCTATCAGTAGAACAGGGATGATACGTGTTCCAGGGGATTACAGAAGATTGAATGAAATAAAGTTTATGAAGCATTGTGTTAGTGTCCTCAGGCTGCCATAATAAATCTCCACAAGCTTGGTACCTTAAAACAACAATTTAATTTTCTCACAGTTCTGCAGGCTGGAATTCTGAAATTAAGGTGTTGGCAGGCAGGGCCATGCTCTTTCTAAAGACCCTGGAGAAACATCTTCCTTTGCCTCTTACCTTCTGGTGGCTCCAGAAATCCTTGACATTCCTTGAAATCCTTGGCTTATAGCTGCATCACTCAGTATCTGCCTCCATCTTCACATGGCCATCTTCTCTGTGTGTGTCTACAATCTCCCTCTCCTCGTGAAGACACAATCATTGGATTTAGGACTCACTGTGACCCAGTATGACCTCATCTTAACTTGACTGCATCTACAAAGAAAATTTCTAAATAAGGTCACGTTCATAGGTATTGAGGTTAGGACTTCAACATGTCTTTTTGGAGGGCACAACTCAACTCAACTCACTACATTTACCTCGCCCAGAGGTTGGTGTATTGTAGGTGATTGAAAGTGTTAATCCCCTTTACCTCCCATTCCTTCTTCTCAAAGATGAAAAGACAAATTTTTGCCTTCTTTGAAGGTAAAGGGGATTAACAATCTTGAAAACAGATTGCTGATCTTTAACTACTGTGTTCTTTTACAGACAGATTTTTTTTAGTTTCCTTTCCATCAGTATTTTGACATAACCTCCATGCAATGTTATTTATGTTTATTCAGCTTATCGATTCTTTTCTTGTCTAGTACGTACACAGTCAGGGCTCAGGGAACAGAGGGACATGTCCAGAACAAATGGAGTACTTGGATTTCATTTTGGTGCTAATCAAAATTCAAGATTTAGGATCAGGAGGATGTTAGAGCAAGAAAACATAATTGGTTCTCTGATAGTCTCTGATAACAGCCTCTGTGGACAGAGGCTGATTTATCAAAGGCAAGTTATAAGTGACATCACACTTCGATTCAGGTTTCAATAAACATTTGAACTGAAGCTCCTATTTTTGACCTAACTTAACTTTGACAGTCTAGAAGGTCACGGTGGCCTCACTGGTCTGTCAGAAAAAATGTAACCTTGACTACAATCTGCATTGTGGCCACAAGAATGAGGAATAGGCTAATTGTCTTCTAGCTCCTAAACAAAACATTCGGTGGCCTGTGGTCTGGAGTCATTTTAAATTAAACTAATTGTCACAGGTTGGCTTTTCTGGAGACAGATGCTGATGCAGAGTTTGGGGTATAATATGCTTTCCATTGTGCAGAGAAGAATTAGCATATCCAGCTGGAGGCTGCTATCCTTAGAAAAACTTGCTTACAAGATTGATCCTGGGCTGGTGACTGGAAACTTGAATTTCAGGATTCCCATCTTCTGAAAACTGATAAGAATGGCTCTCTGTGCCTGAACTGTTTTTTACATATAGTATAGTTTATGCTGATTACTTGCTGTTTTTCTTGGAGTATGAAATTTTGGTACATGCCAGGGTGCCTATGTGATCAGCCTTGAATATAAACCCTGGACACTGAGTCCCTAATGAGCTTCCCTGGTAGAAAACATTTCACATGAGTTGTCACAACCCCTTGCTGGGGGGATTAAGCACGTATTTTGTGACTCCTCTGGAGTCTGGAAGCGTGTGTCTTGTTTACCTTGGACTTTACTACATTCTTCCCTTTTCTGACTTTGCTTTGTATCTTTTTGCTGTAATAAACCATACTTGTGAGTGGGATTGTGTGCAGGTGGCCTTGGGGACCCTTGGTACAATCAGTGACCCCCTATAAAAGGAAACGGAAAGGAGCAGGATTGAAAATAGGAAGAAGTGGAGTTGTGATTTGGGTTGACAAAGCCTCAGCAGTCTGGGTGATTTTCATCTATCAAAGTTGCCTTTACATTTTTTTATAATCATCATCATAATAGTAGTAAAAATAATTATTGTCTCTTATTACACAAGTAATACATACCCATTGTAGAAATATTAGAAAACAAGCATAAAGAAAGTGAAAAATGTCAAGAAATTACATTCAAATAAAATTCTGGAGGATTTTCTTTATAATTTACACAAGTATATGTATATATGCACATTATTTTTATTTTAATGAAATGGAGATTATACTGTATGTATTTTTTTGCAAAGTTACATTAGTATATAAGCCTTTTTATATATTATTAGAAATGTATTCAAAAATCTTCTTTTAAATGGTAGGATACTCAGAACTATAGGGAAAAGGGGGAAATCTTAAAAAGCACCCAGAAAACAAAAACAGATCCTTCCAAAAGGTTATCAGGCACACTTCTGTCAGAAGACAGTGGAGTGGCACCATCAGCATTTTGAGGGAAAGTTATTTTGAGCCTTGAATTATGTAGCCAGCCATACTATCAATCAAACTGAGAACTAAGTGACAGTATTGCTAGATGTGAGAAAAGAATATCTTCTCTAAACAAACTTACTTGAGAATAAATAGATACTTAGGATACTTCATCAAAATAATAAAGAATTATCCAAGAAAAAGGAAGAAATCGGATCCAAGACACAGTTTTTCTTCAATGAGTAATGCTGTGACAATATAGAAGGCAGTGAAGAAAAAGAAAATCTCTCTATGATACCAGAAAACCTAGAAAGTATCCAGGTCTGATTAAATCAGAAAGTCAAAGAACTCTGGGAATGATGACTTTAAGAAAAAGTAAATTTGACTCCCTGTAACAGATAGTATTATTAAGAACATGGGTTTATGCTAGGAAGAAAAAAGATAGGCCGTGAAAAACTTCAGGAAAAACAAAAAGTCACACAAGGAAATGCTAATTCACACTGAAGCAAACTAAAAATGTAGCCTGATTTGAAATCATTGATCAAGTGTGAGAAAAGGGACTGAATTAGGAACATACTCCTTTGAGGGGCAGATATTTAGTGACACAGGATTGGATCCAATTACTTTACTCTGCAGTAAGCAACATTTGCCTAATCATAATAATAGTCTTTTAAAATTTATAGTTGCTGGAATTAACCTATAAACAATAATCAGAATTCTGGTTGCAGAACAAAATATATATGTTATAAACCTAATAAATGCTGGAAGGCAGAAGCAGGGAAGGAGGGGTGGAGTTAAGTGTGGGCCACTAATCTCACTAGTCAGAAGACAAGAGATTTTCTCTAAGTGTAATACCATAAAACTTGGGGTTTAATTATTTAAAGTTATAGAGTGTAGTGGGAAGGTGAGGGTGCCATGGGTTCTTCCTCTGGCCTTTGCAAAATTCTGCCCATGATTCTCAAAAAATGCCACGAATCCTTCGGATTATCATGTATTTGATTTGGGAACTTAATGTTCTTGAGCGTCTGTGATGTGCTAGGCTTGGGGCTGGATGGCACTATTGTGTGCAAATCACCATGCCTCAGGTCTTTCTTTGAAAGACTTGTCAAGCACTGAGGAAATTCAGGCTCAGAGAGGACCAGTGAGGGCCTCTAGGCAGCCAGCTGGCAGCTGGCAGAGCGGGACTCAAATGCAAGTGAGTCCCCTGGCTCCCTGCTTGGTCTACTCTGACACTGGATCATCTGTGTGGCCTGGGAGACCTGCAGTCTGACCATGCATGAATCCTGCTCTCCTCTTGTCTCCACAGGTTCTGCCGCACCACGGCCTCCATGCAGCGGGGTTCTTCATTGCCTTCCTCCTCTCCCTTGTGCTGACCTGGGCTGCCCTCTTCCTCATGGTTCACTATCAGTGTCTGAAGGGAAGCATGCTCACCAGACATCAGGTGAGTCTGCCCTGAGGGTGGTTTGGAAGATGGTGGATGTGAGGTTGAAGTGTGGGTGACAAGATGCGTGTGGGTGACGGAATGCGTGTGGGGTGACGGGATGCTTGTGGGGTGACGGGATGCGTGTGGGGTGACGGGATGAGTGTGGGTGACGGGATGTGTGTGGGGTGACGGGATGAGTGTGGGTGACAGGATGTGTGTGGGGTGGCGGGATGCATGTGGGGTGACGGGATGAGTGTGGGTGACGGGATGTGTGTGGGGTGATGGGATGAACCGTTCAGGGAAGGACTGGGGGTGTTGGCTGGTGGGTCTTGGGTTGGTGGGCACTGCAGTGCTCAAGGAGGGGACATGGCAAAGAACCAACTATGCAAGGGCCCACCCAGAGGTGCACCACCTTGGCAGGAACATATGTCATCTTTCTCCCTCACTTTAGCTTGAAAACACTGAGGTCCATGAGGTTAAACAACTTGCTTAACATGGCCAGGCACAGGCTGGGACCCAGCTTCTGGGGACCCCCTCTCCCTGGAGGCTGAAAATTCCACCCCAGCCTAGGTGAGGAGCCTGTTATGCATTTTGTCCCTGCTTCTTGGAGGAGAGGATTGTCATTTCAAAATGAGGTCAGCCCACAGTCTCCTTGGCGGGCAAAAGTGAGAAGAAAAACGGCCCATCTAATCAGACCTTGTACTGATTCTCCCAAAGCTGTTATCAATCAGAGGAACTAAACACACCCTGCTGCTTTGATGTCGGAGCAGGATTCATTTCCCAGAGATTAGGGCAGATCATGAGAACTGCACAGAGGGAAGCAAGAGTATGAATTTGATTTAAGGCCTAAAGACCCTTGCAGTACTTATTTCCTGGCATCACAGAATGAACTCTTTTCACATTTTTCTTTATTTTTTTGCCAGCATAGTAGTGGTCAGTGGTCTGCTGTAAAACAGAAGGCAACCTTCAGAGTTGGATTGGGATCAAAAATCAACCGGACTCTTTTGAGCTGTGTGGCCTTCAATAACGTTATTTCACTTCTGTGAGCCTCAGTTTTCCTATTTGTAAAGTGGGGGCACCAACACTTCCTTGTTGTAACAGCTTCATGATAACACAAGGAAAGCACTGAAAATAATATCTGCCACAGGGACAAGAATTAGTATAGGTTAGCTATAACTATCATGCATTTTTGCAGTGTTAATGATATTGGAGACGAAACAGATCTATCTCTTATCCAATCAGAGGGTAGTTATCTTTAATGTCACTTCCAGCTCACAGTCCTATATTCTTTTTCTTTATTTTTTTTGAGACAGAGTCTCACCTGTGTCGCCCAGGCTGGAGTGCAGTGGCACAATCTTGGCTCACTGCACCCTCCACCTCCTGGGTTCAAGCGATTCTCCTGCCTCAGCCTCCTGAGTAGCTGGGATTACAGGCGCCTGCCACCACGCCTGGCTAATTTTTGTATTTTTAGTAGAGACGGGGTTTCACCATGTTGGCCAGGCTGGTGTCAAACTCCTAACCTCAAGTGATCCACCCACCTCAGCCTCCCAAAGTGCTATGATTACAGGTGTAAGCCACCATGCCCCGCCCAATCCTGTATTCTGATTAGAAACCAACCAGATCTCTGATGTCGAGGTCCACCATACCCGTTGTGAGGTCTCCTCTACCTGATAATGATAAAGATGATGACAGTGAAATATTTTATAGGTCTTACAGGTTGAAAAGTTCTTTCTTTCCATTGTTCCACTTTACTCACACAATGTCCTCACGCAGGGCTATTGGAATTACGATCCCATTTCTTTGCAGAGAAAACGGAGGCTCAGGGACATTTGCAAAAGTTTGTCTCAGTTTACCGTGTTTCCAGTGGTGTGGCTGATTGGGTACTCTGACTGCAGACCCCTGGCCTTCCCTCCTGGCTTTCTCAGCACATGGAATTTACAAGAAGGCCCAATCAATTATTATTTCTGCAATTCTCCTGAAGGTTTGGCAGTACGACAGCAAGCTGGAACCCTTGCCGTTCACCTCAGCTGATGGCGTGAATGAGGACCTTTCCCTAAACGACCAAATGATAGACATTCTGTCTTCCGAGGACCCTGGTAGCATGCTTCAAGCCTTAGAAGAGTAAGAATTCTAAATCCCATTATACTTCCACAGATGTGATGAATGTTTTAATGACAGTGACGTAAGACCAAACACTGAGTATATTTCATTCATTCAGTTAATCATTTGTCACTCTGTAGTCATAATTCAACAACGGCTATGCACTGAATGTTTGGCATCTAGGAAAAGAAGTGTAGAAGCCATACTTCCTGCTCTAAGGAAGTCTGATCTAGTGGGAAAGACTGAAACATAAACAGAAGTGACCACAAAATTGGGTGACTACCATGCTAATGGGAGGGTCAGGGCTGGCAGAGCACAGAAGAAGAAGTAATTACTTCTGAGAAAGTCATAGAAATGCTTCCCAGAGGAGGTGGCATTGAACTTTTTTTTTTTTTTTTTGAGATGGAGTCTCGCTCTGTCGCCCAGACTGGAGTGCAGTGGCGCGATCTCGGCTCACTGCAAGCTCCGCCTCCCGGGTTCTCGCCATTCTCCTGCCTCAGCCTCCCGAGTAGCTGGGACTACAGGCGCCCACCACCACGTCCGGCTAATTTTTTTGTATTTTTAGTAGAGACGGGGTTTCACCGTGTTAGCCAGGATGGTCTTGATCTCCCGACCTCGTGATCTGCCCGCCTCGGCCTCCCAAAGTACTGGGATTACAGGCGTGAGCCACCATGCCCGGGCTGAACTAATTATTTTTTTAAAAATTTTTTATTTATTTTTAACTTTTAAGTTTAGGGATATGTGTGTAGGCTTGTTATATAGGTAAACTCATGTCACAGGAGTTTGTTGTACAGATTATTTCATCATCCAGGTATTAAGTCTAGTACTCAGTTAAGAGGGAGAGAATCTGAATTGATTCTGAAAGCTTATGAAGAAGCTTTCCAAATTGATTAAGCGTGGAAACAATTTTCAGACAGAGGAAAGAAAGGGCAGATGTAAGGATGTGAAAGGAGCAAGGTGCGTTTGGTGAGATGTCAGTAGCCAAGTGTGGCTGATGTGCAGATTGGGGTATTAAGTATAGAAAATAAAGAAGAGGCAGCAGGGGAGAAAGGCCAGACCAGGTGATGTGACTGTATGCTGAACTGAATTCAGTTCTTCTTATGTAGTTAATGAATATTAACATCATACTTCCTATGTGCAATAGCAGATAGTGCCAGACACTGTTTAAGAACTTTACAGAACTAACTCATATAATCCTCTTAACAAGCCTATGAAGTAGGTATTGCTCTCTGTAACATCTTATGGATGAGAACTTGAGAGAGGTTAAGTCACTTGCCCAAGGGCGTATACTAGTAAATGATAGGGTCAGGTTTTAAACTCAGATCATCTGCTCCGTGGTCCAGGCTCTTAATCATTGTCCAAGATTTCTCCTGGATGGACACATGGTTCACAGTCTAATAGGTAACCTTAACTAGATAAGGTTCATCAGCATGGCCTTACCATTCCTTTTTTCCTTTCAACAGATATTTAAGATGACTTCTTTATGTTTTCTTTAATTTTCCTTTTTTTTGGCCAAAAATCTCAATCTTATTTTTTTAATTTACTCTCAAACAAAATTATTTTAAAGTCGCTGTCTGAAGACGTTATTATCTGTACCCTCATTCTGTGTCTGTTATCTGGCATACACTCAGTGTTTGATCATGTTTTCTTGTCTCATATCTCTGTGTATTTTTTAATATGTGCTAGACATTGTATATGAAGTTGAAAAGACAATCTGAGGACGAGGGTGATGTTATCTTCTTCTAAGAGGCTAGTAGCATAATTATGGATTATATTAATCCAATCAGAGATTGAGATCATTCAAAGCTGGGCTTCATTTCTCCCAGATCAAATTCTTATTTGGTTGTATCTGATTATTTTTATTTTAACATGCTTTTTGTTAGACTGCTGATGATTAATAATGGGGCCAAATGTGAACTCTTCGTATTGGATGTCATTTACAGGAAACCTTTTTTATTCTAGGTTCAAGATTTGTAGCTCTCTGCCCACTCACTGCCCACTGGAGGGTAATTTCTGGGAATTTGGAATCATCAAGATAACGATAAACTATAATGCCTTATGTTTTCAGATAAAATACCTTATGTTTATGTCACTTTTAGAAATGTGCACACCCCTTATTTAATTTGGTGCTCATCATACTGCTTTTTGGTATGGCACCTTATTTTCAGTGTTTGACAGTCAAAGCAGCTGAGGCTCAGCTAGGTTGAGAGGTTTACCCACAGCAATACATCTGGTGAGTGAAGAATGGGACTTGAGCTTCCTCACCGTTTAGGCTCAGGCACATTTATAATTTACAGACGTTCTCTGAGCCCAGTTTTCTCATCTCTCAAACAGGGAACCCATAACCTAGAGCCTCGGGATACTGTCATGTGTAATGATGTGAAAGAGACTTGTGATAGGGACGTGTCCTTATGCGAATAGCTGCTGTGAGCCCTGGTCAGATTAGCAGACCCTAAAGAGAAGTGGTCAGGGTGATTTGCCCTTCCTTGAGTCTTTCTCAAGAAAATTGAAAGCATACTGAACATGGGAGACCTGGGGAGCAAAACTGAGCAGCTTCCTGATCCTCCCTGGGTCCGAGAAATGGTGTCCTGTGACACAAAGACGTAGATCCTAGGTAGAACCAGAAGCAGCTCTGTGTCATGCTTTTCAGGAGCAACTACCTACTGGCCTGAGAGAAGAGCCCCGCTATGTCTGACTCATTCCACTTTGTGAGCTCAATGACTGTTCTCAGAAGAAAGGGACTCCCCTCTTGTTTGAATGGGTGCTCCTTCTTCACTGGGTGCCTGGTGAAGAGCCAGGCCTGGAGCCTCGTAAGTGCAGGGCTGACCTTGTACCAAGAGGGGAGTCAGGGCTTATTCATCCGTTTCTGGGTGCCAGTTGTATGGCTTGGTTAATTAAGCCTTGTGCAGCCATCCAGATGCCATTCTTCATTTTCACTTAATTCCCTAATCAGAATGCCAAGGATTACAAATTAAAATTTGCCACCTTGTCTGAAGTAGTAGGGAGAAATGGACGAGCAGTGGAAGGCGAAGTTATTGGCGGAGGTTCATAAATGTCACTTACTATATTAAGTGGTGTGAGCAGCTAATTATCAAATGACTTCAGAGCTAAAAATCTGTTTTCTTACAAAACATGAAAATGACAAGTAGAGTGAAAAGATTTGGATCATGCAATCAGCACCTGGATATTTAATTTGCAAGTATGTGGTACTCCATAACTTTCCGATTAAAGTAATTAGTACTTTAAAATAGGAAAGTATTAATCCTCCTGTCTTTGTTTTTTATTCAAAAAGTAATGGGGCATAAGAAGCCCAGTCTTTATCCCTACATTATATGAAATTATAAGCAGCCACTGCGGTTTGCCAGTCTTGATGCTTGAGTACAATAGGAATGTTGAAGTTTATAATGGTTTTGTTCTTGCACCTCTGGAATTTTATATTCATTTTCCTTGGGAGCTTGTCTTATTTTGCCTGAAGAGTGTTTAGCATTGATTATCAAGCATGCACTGAGAGTGTTCAGCTTGTGAGCTAAATTCACTCCTCTCTTCCTCTCCCCCAGCTTCCCATCCTCCCTCCCGTCCCAAATTCATTCCTCTCTTCCTCTCCCCCAGCTTCCCATCCTCCCTCCTGTCCCACATTCAATATTTATTGAACTCCAGTTCTGTTTCAGGCATTGTGGTTGGACACTAGTTTTAGAAATCCAGTCTTTTTTTTTTTTTTTTTTCAGTTATAGCATTGCCAATTACTTTTAATCTTTCCATCTTGCTGTATAGTCCTGCTTAGATGCTCCCAGAAAGAAAATGTCACTCAGAATGGCAGGACCTTAGTATGCGTGGAAATCTGTGATACACTCCCCACTAAAAATAGCATTTTTCTCTGGCAAATCAGTTATCCCATTTGTAATTCTAACATGAAGCTTAGCTGGGATTCGAAATATGCCATTAGGTGACTTGATTACCCCCTCATTTCAAGCCCCATCAGAGCCATAACTTTGCTCTATCCTGCTGAGTTATTTTTGACGAGGCGCATTTCCTAGGTGTGCGTGGTGGTTTTTACATTGCTTATTCATAGGCTGTCTTACAGAGAGGATTTGAGGAAGGACTGTTTCCTTTGATTTTTATCAGGCTCCTTGACTGTAGCTATAATGGAGGTAGACTCAGTCTCAGCACATGCTGGGACTAGGAGGAAGGAAGAACTAGGCAGGACCAGCTGGTTCTGGAAGCTTCTAGGGGCATGGAGTGCTGATCGTGTTTTAGCTCCAGCCTTACTCTAGGCCTGACCACTCCACACACCTCTCGCCTGTGATCTTATTTAATTCTCACAACTCTCCCGTTTTAGACCAGGAAGCTGAGGTTCAGAAAGGCTTATTGATTTTTGCCTAAGGTCACACAGGTAGTAATGGATTTGGCTTAGGCCTGAGTGTTTTCAATCTTTTCTTCTATTGACCGAACAGCTTTTTAAAAAGACTGAGCTTAGATGTTTCAGAGAGTCAAAGAAAGTAAGGCAAAAAAAGAAGTTCAGATCTATGTCTGTTTCCTCTATTATTAGAACAAGCTTAGGACTCTCTCTGGATGCTACCAACATTGCCTCTAAACTGTCTTGAAATTGTGTTTGTACAAAGTAAGTGTTTCATGAGTATTTGTCGAATTGAGGCTTTTAAATATGTGTGTTTAGTAGTTTTTTATGTGCCAACCATATGGTATATTTTTACAACTTCTACTCTTTTTATTCTTTGTAAACACTTTAGAGAAATGATTTTGTTCCTCATCTCTAAAAACCTGAAGCCCAGGGAAATTAAACAACTCATCCAAGATTCTTTTGTTCACTTGTTCTTTGATTGGGTTGCTGGTTCATGCATGCAGTACTTTTTAAAAAGTAATTAATGGATTGATGAATCCAACAGATTCTTGCCGAGGGCTCCTTCTGCACCAAGCACTGTGGTAGATCCAAGACTCTCGTTTGCCGGACACTAGCAAGTGTCTTGGTTTTTGTCCTTATAGAGCTTACACAAGCACACACAACT